AAACATTTTTAACATTGGAAACCTATGAACAAAAGAACGATTCGCTTCAATCCCATTGCCTCTCTCGAAACGAAACGGTTGAGTCTCGGCCAAAACTTATTCAAAAAGGGGGTGAGGCGACGGTTAGATAGCCAGCCAATTTCAGTATTATCGCTTTTAATTGCGATACTCGTGCTATTTGCGCGATGGCGTGGCGGCGGATCGCGCGATTGTCGTCGCGTGCCGAATTATTGGATGTTGACGTCACCCGACGCGGCACCGCTTTGCTCGTAATTGCCGCCACCAATTATGCAATTAGCGCCGCTCTCTAATGAGCGCAGTGTTACACACGCGGAATCTAAACACCCGGCTTATTCACTCGCTCGTACAACACGTGCTTTCGCGCGAGTTTTCCCTCCCTGATACACCCGCGAACGAGTTCATCTCATCACTCGCGAGAAATTCTCAAGGATCTTGGCCTCATCCTCGGATCAGAAAAGAAAGAAAAGATTCGATAACGTTGTAACCGTTGTTTGGGACAAGATGAGTAGCAACGAAGATAAGACACTTTTGTTCACAAGTGGAAGGAATGAAAATGTTAAAAATCGAATTTTTATCAATATCTGAAATCAATATCTGAAAAGGAAGGAAGAATAAAAAAAGGAGTAATTGAATAATCGGATCTCGTTGATTTTTCGCGGTAACTCGAGATCGAATCATCATCGATGCGTTTCAATTTTGCATAAACGATGCTTTATACTTGCAAGGATGTTAAATTGGGATAACTCGATAACACTGGCCCCGCGCAATTAGAACTGCCAGGTAACAAGATATTCCTACGTGTACCCAAATAATTGAATATCAGTATTACTGGATGTCCATAATCCGGGTTACCGAACCATTGGATGTGTGCATTACTCGCACACCGATACCAACGGGACTAACATCACTGTAATTTTCGTAAACTTCGTAATGGACTAGTCGGCACTCTCTGGTGCGTCGACATCGGTATCGGTATCGGTAGTCAGCCACTGATGAACCAATTTGCATATTTATCGTGCCATACGCATACGTGGAAAAATACGACAATAAGCCAACAATAGTAACCTAACCTAACTTAAGCCAATCCAACCTAACTCAATCTAACCTCACCTAACCCTAAAATTCTCAGAAACGGAAATATTTCTTATTTAAGAAAATATAAGATTATAACAAAATTGTGATTAAATCGAGATTTTCAATGAAATCACAAGCAAACTTAACGTAAGAAACTTCACCTTCGATTCGAATTGAATTCCCATCCACGTATTAGAAACGAGAACCTAACCTAACTTAATTCAATCCAACTTAACCTAATCTAATCTTAAAATTCGCAGAAATGGAAATATTTCTTATTTAAGAAAATATAAGATTATAAAAAAATTGTGATTAGATCGAGATTTTCGATGAAATCACAAGCAAACTTAACGTAAGAAACTTCATTTTCAAATCGAATTCCCGTCCACGGAAACGAGAACCTAACTCAATCTAACCTAATCTAACCTAACTAAAATTCGCAGAAACGGAAATATTTCTTATTTAAGAAAATATAAGATTATAAAAAAAAATTATGATTAGATCGAGATTTTCGATAAAATCACAAACAAACTTAGCGTAAGAAATTTCACCTTCGATTCGAATCGAATTCCCGTCCGCGTATTAGAAATGAGAACCTAACCTAACCTAACTCAATCCAACTTAACCTAATCTAATCTTAAAATTCGCAGAAATGGAAATATTTCTTATTACAGAAAATATAAAATTATAAAAAAATTGTGATTAGATCGAGATTTTATTTTCAATGAAATCACAAGCAAACTTAACGTAAGAAACTTCACCTTCGAATCGAATTCCCGTCCACGTATTAGAAACGAGAACCTAACCTAACCTAACCTAACCTAACCTAACCTAACCTAACCTAATTAAAATTCACAGAAAGGAAAATATTTCTTATTTAAGAAAATATAAAATTATAAAAAAAATTGTGATCGAGATTTTCGATAAAATCACAAGCAAATTTAACGTAAGAAACTTCACCTTCGATTCGAATCGAATTCCCGTCCACGTATTAGAAACGAGAACTCGTGTTGTGTAACGAGCGTGTAACAAATCCGCGGCGTGTGCCAACGTGTAAACACACTCCACTCGAACCCGCAATCCCTTATGCCCTTACACATAAGGGGTGCAGTCGGATGATTGCACGATAAAACACTGGCATAATGTTTCGCCCCGCTGGTTGAACACCGCAAATACACCCCTGGACCGCATGCAGACTTTATTTCTCGAAGGGTGCCCGGTCTGGCGTGCATCCGAGGAGAGAGACTCGGGCGCGCCACCCGGAGAGACGACACCCTGGGGCCACCCTGCATCGAGGATTAGCCTCGCTACATTTCGCCCCTTCTGTCGGCGCGTATGTTCCGTCATTACGCTTCTAACGTACACTTGGAACGAACGTTCTTGGTTTGCTCGAAGGGCGCGTTTATTCGGCGTCGAGTGGGGTTCGATTCGATTCTTTCCTACCTGCGACTAAATCGGCTGATCCGTTTAATAGTGTCACCGGTTTCACTGATGTTTGATGTTGGGATTCGGGGAGAAGGGGATTTGTCTCGCTTGATTCCCGGTTTTAAGGGGTTAATTGAGAAGAATCGTGAGGAGAGCGCGTTGGTTTCTCTCTTTCCTTTTTCTTTTTCTGTTTTTGGAAACAGGATGGTGGAACGATTACGAAAAAAAATTTTTTAATGCAAAATTGGAAGAGATGTAATAAGCGATGGCGCGAATCTCAAACGCGCGACTCGTCACGTACACATTCCTTGGAAGACGTTGAAACGGTTCCAAGAGGCAGGATCGGGAATCATCCCCGAAAATTGCATTTGCAATCTCCCCTGTAAAGGAGTTGGGCGTGCATACGTAAAGCGAAACCCGAGCCGGTAATCCGTCGTCGTGGAAGGTCAGGCAGCCGAAAACGAAAATTGGTTAAATTTCGTTAAGTTTGGCAGCAATTACTTTTGATACCCGACACGCGGCCGTAATTGCGTTGGGCTCAAGCAGGAACGAGCGCGCCCGCGCGACAGAGAGGGGTAATAATTCGCTAATATCAATTTCAAATTTCAATTAGTATCATCTCGACGTCTGCTGCTCCCAGACCCGACCACCCTCCCCACCCCACCCCTCTCTCTCCCTCCCTCTCTCTCTCTCTCTCTCTCTCCGCATCTCGGTTTTCTCGTGGACCCCAGAAGAGCACACGGCATGATCTAAAATTCAATTTGTCCCTTGTAGCGGAGCCGCAAAGGGTGAAGGGGCGAGTAGGACGGAAAGAGAGACGAGGGCTCTCTAGTTCAACAGAGAGAGAGAGAGAGAGAGAGATGGATAGGAAGAAGGAAGCACGATCGTGGCGGTTGGAAGCAAGCAACGTGGAATCGCGTGTAGGAGGGGGGGTGGTGTCGAGGAACACAGCTCGAAGTTTAAAGCTTCGCCGTTCGCGTGCACCACGTTACGTAACTACGGCCCTGTAGTGGGCACGGGCATGCGCGACACGCTGACCCATTATAAATTGATAACCCCGCCGTTTATTAAGTTCCAACGACCGATGCCTGCTTAGGCAAAGAGCCCTCCACCGCCCCTACCCCCCTCGATACGCGCATCATTTATTTACAGGGGAGTTTACAATCCCTCTAATGGGGATCGGCGTAATCGGCCGCCGCCGCCGCCGCCGCCTGTATTATATACGCCTCCGTTTCTCCTTTGGTCCTGTGAACCCCGTGGCCTCGGCCGATGCCTTCCTTCCTTCTCCCCCCCCTCCCTCTCTGCGTTGCGCCGCGTGTCTCCGTTAATCGCGTTCCGCGAAACCACCCCCGAATAATCCGAGTGTCGCTGAGAGGGGAGGGGAGGAGGAAATCGGCAAGGATTTGGATTGGATGATTGGGCCTCGTTTTGTCGAGGAAGGAATCAGTCAGCTGGTCGCTAGCTTCTGCGTAATGGGAATTATTAAGTTGACCCTCTATTGCGTGAATTTTTGTGAAAAAGTTTATTAAAGAAAAGTATATTATTTTATTAAAGTAGTATTTTAGTATTTTAGTATTTTAGTATTTTATTAAAAAAAGTATATTATAGTTTATAGTTTAGTGAGTGGGATGAAATGAAAAATAAATAAATAACGGCATAAATAACAGCGTTATTTATTTTTTTTTTTTGTAAAATATTGCATTTAAGTCCTCAATTGGGAATGCGATAATAATAAGAAGACAGGTATGTTTTCTGTTCTACTCTTCGAAAATTGCGTGAAGATAATCCAGTCTTAGGTTATTTATAAGTTAAAAATCTATATTATTTAACTTATAAATAATTATATTATTTAATAATCTATATTATTATTATGTTTGGGAAGAGAAAGCTCGATTTATTATATTTATTATTATATTTGTTGCACAGGGAAGGAGGAGCACGCTATAAATGTATAAATTGATACGTGGCTCGTTTCTTTGATAATTATAACCGAGTTGTATCGAATTAATTAAGGAAAAATTATCTCTACGTAGGAGTTAGCGCGTATATATATGTATATATATATATTCCTTGCCTTGGATAAAATTAAGCTGAAAATTTATGTTTATCGTTTCAGGTAAATTAATTTCGTAATACCTGTTAACCTAAACAGTGTGCAGAGAAAAAGTAATCTTTCAATTTTTCTACCATTTTAAAAATAAAATTTTAAAAAAGAACAGGAGAAGGAAAGAATTAACCTTCGTTCCTAATTAATCCTCCCAAGAAAACAATTATCGCTGACAATTGCACAATTTCTCTTCTCCCCTCCCCCCCCTCCCCTCCATCTTCTCTCCTCTCTCCTCCCTTCCACTCCCCTCCCCCCCACAAATCGTTCAAAAATACTCGTGACAATATTAACGAGTAACAAGGCGACTAATTCGCTTTCTTGGAAAAATGATGCACGACTTACGTAAAGGAACCCTGTTTCTCTTTAATTGCAGATTGGATCGGTTCACACTCACCAGGCGAACAATAACCACCACCACACGCACCATCAACAGCAACAGCAGCAACAGCAACAGCAACAGCAGCAGCAGCAGCAGCAACAGCAGCAGCAGCAGCAGCAGCAGTCGAGCCAGCCGCAGGTGCCGGGGGCAGGAGGGGGTGGAGGGCCGGGGGGTGGGACGGTGGCCAGGCCTGGCGGCATGTTCTGCTACCACTGCCCCCCGGGTCTTCCAACGCCACGGTTACCACCCACCCTCGAGTACCCATTCGCCGCCACTCACCCCTGTAAGTAGACATTCCATTTGCGTCTCCTTTGCGTTTCGGGATAAAGGATTTTGGGATAAACGGTGGGGGGAAAAAGAAAATTTTTTCTTTTTTCGTAGCAATTTGATCGAAATTTAATAATAGAGAGGAAAATTTAACGAATAAAAACTATATAAAAAATAAGAAATTTCATCGCGTGTGTTCTACGAGGATCCCTTGCCGCAGATCCCCAGAGTACTGTTTCCTTCCGATTTACCCTCCCCCGAAAAGAAAAAATTCGATTCCGCCCATAATCTTACATTTCTTCATCTATTTCCCCCCCTCCCTCCCTCCCCTTACTGCTCCTACTCAATTTCACTCTAGCCGAGGGTCGACTTTAAAGCGGGATGTATCGTGGAGAAACGTCGATCCAATTTCTCAAATCACCCCCATAACGTAACAGGAATTATAAACGATGATGGAAACCTGCCCTGTTCAAGATTTAAATATTTTTAGCGTTAAATTCTTAAAATATTTTAGCGTTAAATTCTCTAAAAGAAAAAAAACACGAATCTTTAATATTCGTTACGTGTGATATTTCAACGTGATGATTTGAAAATGAGAGTAGATAGATCTAACGTAACGCAATGGATTACGTTTTTTCTTTCCTTTCGTGTAAATAAATTCGAAAAGTTGATCAAAGTTTAACAATTCACTCGAGTTTATATTGAAAAAACGGAATTAAAGGGGAAAGGAGCGCGAGGAGTGGTGCGACAGCGTTGTTGGCGAGGAAGGAGGGGAGGGGGGGGGGAGAAGGGAGATTGATTGTACCGGCACTTGCTCTGGCGGAACACATCGATGAAGTTACATTACCGACTAGACCGAGTTACGCAAAGTGGACGCTACAAACTGGACGGCCGCTAAACTTAATTTGCACTTCGGACCAACTTCCGGTTAAACCGCGTCCCGACGGCGGTGTCGACTCGCTCTTCAGAACTTCGACGCCAGTTTGCCTATTCCACGAGATCGCTTTCCAAGTCGAATCTCGTTTCTCTCCTCCGGTATTAACTCTACCCACCTTCTCGATGACAACCGAGTTTCGTAATTTCGGGTTTTTCCCTGTAATTTTGGGGGGGGGGGGAGGGGGGAAATAAAATTTCTTTTTTTTTTTTATTCGTGTCAAAATTTCATGGCGATTGAATTTCGATGGAAATTGCCTTTGTACAACACGATCCGCAATGGATTTTGTACGAAGTTGAAGTTTGAATTTCGTTCTATCGAATTTGTTGATCGATATCTTTTTTTGTATCGGTTATAAATTTTGTTCTTCTTTTTTTCTTTTTTTTGCGACACTCGTCGTTGCGAATGTTTATGTTTTTTAATTCGTTCATCGTCCATCGATCATTGTCGTAAATTTTAATTAGGATTTTTGACAAGAGACGTATGAAAAAAGATTTTTCCATTTTATCGTTTTTTTTTTTTTTTTTTTGCTTTTTTCACGCGCCTGAATATAACGTTCGGCTCATCGAGTCACGATGTATATGCTCACTTTATTGCATATTATGAACCTCAATGAGATACATGTGGTAGGTGGATAATCGAATGGGGACCGTAGGTGTAGGAGGGGATAGAGATATACGGTTATCCTCAGGGACGTGTGTAAGTGCCCTTCCATCTAGGCCCGAAATATAGTTTAAATAAAATATTGATTTCCCTCGCGCAAAGTGAAATTATGTTTTTAATGCGCATTTATCATTCCCTTTATCCGCGGCCGCTTCCCTCTACCTCCACTTAAAATTAAGTGAAATTCGTACGCGCGTTTATCGTTGATTAGAACGCGACGTAAAAACACGTAACAGAGCGGAAGCTTTTCTCCGGACTCCGATATTTCATCTCTCCTCTTTTTTCCCCCCTCCCCCAAAATTCCATCCTCTATTTATTAGAAAATTACAATTACGATTTAACGAAATCATCAGATCAGATTCTACGATCTGATCCCTTCCACTTTCTCTCGACATTATTTAACATTTCGATCATCAAATCTTCGGCGCAATCAGAAAAAAAATTTAACCGCACATTTTTGTCTCCGCACGATCCAAGGCGCGTAATAATATTCGAAACGGCACATGTGTGTCGAAACGACGCCTGCTGGATGATCTCCAGTAGAGGGAGGAGGTGTCCTCGGGGACGTCCGTGCACCCTTCCAGCTTTCCCCGGCCGGTGTACCCCTCGCCACCCCCCGTTGGGATAAACAGATTAGGTAACTACGTGATAAGTCGGTAAGTGGGTTCACTCGGCGCAGGGTCCGAGCCCACCGACATTCGCTCTAACATCTAACTAGCTCGTTAGGGTCATTAGTAACGGTCGGGGTGTCATTAGATTTCGTTCTGTGTCTAGTTTTTCCACGGACCCTTCGAATCCGCTCTCTTCGTTCTCGAGCCGACGAGGCTCAGGTAAACGCGATAATTGTTTTTACTATTCTCTTTCATTTTTGCCCCTCTCCATTTTGATTGGAACGACAAATTGTGAAAATGAAATTATTGTTTAAAAAAATTCGTTTCAATCAAATGTGTTGTTATTCGATGTCGTGAAATTGGAAATGTTGAAACTTTAATTTCATTGATTGCAATTACAACATCCTCGAACGAGTCTCTTCGAATATAAATATAAAATCTTACGATTTAAGGAAGAATTTCCTTATTACAGGAAGAATACCTATTACAGGAAGAATTTTTTAAATTAAATCTCTCGCTTGCTCTCAAATGGGAGTGACGACGAGAACCATCGAGAAAAAGAAAAAAAGTATCTATGTCCTATTACGAGAAATTTAATCCAGACAGTCTTCTCCATTGATTGGAACGACAAACTGTGGATTATTGTTTAAAAAATTCGTTCAATAAAACATGTTACCTAATTTACAATCTAAATTACAGTCCTCGAACGAGTTTTTTCGAATAAATATAAAATCTTATGATTTAACTCTATTACAGGAAGAATTTTTTAAATTAAATCTTTCGCTTCGAATGAGAACCATCGACGTGAAGAATCGAGAAAAAAAAAGAAGTAGGAAATACTTGTGCTCTACTACGAGAGATTTAATCTAGATAGTCTTCTCCATTGATTAGAACGACAAATTGTGGATTATTGTTTAAAAAAATTCATTTGCTTGTTCGTTTCAATAAAATATTATTTAAAGTCATGAAATTCGAAATATTGAAACTTCGAGTTCAATTTAACGCAATTACAATTACAATCCTCGAACGAATAAATCTTGTTATTACAGGAACAATTCTCTAAACAAAAACACACGAGAACCATCGAAAAAAAAAGGGTTAGTAACTGTGCTCTATTACACTGGACTTAAGAATTAATTCAAACTTCTCCAAAAAAGGAAGAAAGTATCTATGTCCTACTATAAGAAATTTAATCTAGACAGTCTTCTCCATTGATTGGAACAAATTATTGTTTAAAAAATTCGTTCGTTTCAATAAAACATGTTACCTAATTTACAATCTCTAATCTAAATTACAATCCTCGAATCTCTTCGAATATAAAATATAAAATTTTACGATTTAATCCTATTACAAGTATAATTCTCTAAAATCACTCAAACACGCGACCTTCGAAAAAAAAAGGGGTAGTACCTGTGCCCTATTGCGCCGAACTTAAAAATTAATTCAGACAGACTTCTCCATTAATTAGAACGATAAATTATAAATTGTTTAAAAAATTGTTCCTTTCAATAAAACATGTTACTTAATTTACAATCTAAATTACAATCCTCGAACGAATCTCTTCGAATATAAAATATAAAATCTTACGATTTAACCCTATTACAGGAACAATTCTCTAAATCTTTCGTTTACTCTCAAACGAGAACCATCGAGAAAAAAAAAGAAAGTCTATGTCCTACTACGAGAAATTTAATCTAGATTTAATCTAAATAAATTTAATCTATTTAATCTAAATATTCTGCATTGATTGGAACGACAAATTATGGATTATTATTTAAAAAATTCGTTCAATAAATCATGTTACCTAATTTACAATCTAAATAACAATCCTCGAACGAATCTCTTCGAATATAAAATATAAAATCTTACGATTTAACTCTATTACAGGAACAATTCTCTAAATCTCTCGTTTACTCTCAAACGGACGACGAGAACCATTGAGAAAAAAAAAAAAAGGACGAATCGTGACAGGGAGGAGGTACCTGTGCCCTACTGCGCGGGGTTCAAGGGTTAATCCAGACAGGGATTTCGAGCGGAAGCAAATCAAGGGCGGTCCTCGAGAGAGGAGGACGAAGCGTTTTAAAGGCGCACGTAGTCGACGGGGCACGTGCGAGCTTCCCGCGTTTGGATACCCGGCCAGAAGAAGATATTAATTCCCCCCCTATTGTTTTTCCCTCGACACGGAGAGACAAAGCCACGAACCCTCCTCCGTGCGTCGCGGAGAAAGGAGGACAAGTGTGCACGAGTCACACCGGGCCCTTTCTTGCGACCGCGTTTCCCCGGCCGCGCTTAATAAATTGGATCAAGCAAGGAGTCTCGATGAGTTTTGCGCGAGTTGTCTGGTTCCAGGGCTTCGCCCCCTCCCCCCCCCCTCCCCCTCCCTCCGGATCACGAGTCTAATCTTAGGATCTCGAGTGGATTTCAGTTTTGCCAAATTCGATAAATTTATTTTCCAACGAGCTTCGATTCTTCTTCCATTCTCTGTCCATTCTCTCTTCACATTCTTTCTCTTCTTGAATTGTTCTCTATTTTTTGGACAACGAATCGTTGAGATTTGGATGGGTAAATCCATTTTCTAAATAATTTTTCTTTTTTAACAAAAGTTTTTTTAATGAAAGATACATCCAGGGCCTCGTGGATTTCAATTTTGGCCACCGATAAATTTATTTTCCAACGAGTTTCGATTCTTCCATTCTCTGTTCATTCTCTCTTCTCATTCTTTCTCTTCTTGAATTGTTCTCTATTTTTTGGACAACGAATCGTTGAGATTTGGATAGGGAAATCCATTTTCTAAATTTTTCTTTTTTAACATAAAAGATATCTACATCCAGAGCTTCGTGAATTTCAATTTTGACCACCGATAAATTTATTTTCCAACGAACTTCGATTCTCCTTACATTCTCTATTCATTCTCTCTTCTTATTCTTTTTCTTCTTGAATTTTCTCTATTTTTTGGACGATGAGTTAAGCAACGAATCGTTGAGATTTGGATGGGCAAATTCATTTTCTAAATAATTTTTCTTTTTTAACAAAAATTTTTTTAATGAAAGATACATCCAGGATTTTGGCCATTGATAAATTTATTTTCCAACCAATCAACGAGCTTCGATTCTTCTTTCATTCTCTGTTCATTCTCTTTTCTTCTTCTTCTTCTTGAATTGTTCTCTATTTTTTGAAGAATGACTTAAGCAACGAATGGTTGAGATTTGGATGAGTAAATCCATTTTCTAAATTTTTATTTTTTAACATAAAAGATGTCTACATCCATGAAAGATATTTATATCAAGGATTTCAATTTTGACCATTGATAAATTTATTTTCCAACCAATTAACGAGTTTCGATTCTTCTTCCATTCTCTGTCCATTCTCTCTTCTCATTCTTTCTCTTCTTGAATTGTTCTCTATTTTTTGGATAACGAATCGTTGAGATTTGGATAGGCAAATCCATTTTCTAAATTTTTCTTTTTTAATATGAAAGATGTCTACATCCAGGATTTCAATTTTGGCCATTAATAAATTTATTTTCCAACCACTCAACGAGTTTCGATTCTTCTTTCATTCTCTGTTCATTCTCTTTTCTTCTTCTTCTTGAATTGTTCTTTATTTTTTGAAGAATGAGTTAAGCAACGAATGGTTGAGATTTGGATAGGCAAATCTAATTTCTAAATTTTTTTTCTTAATATGAAAAATATCTGGATTCTTCAGAACTTCGTATCTTGAATTTAGGAATGAATTTCACTTTTACCCATCGATAAATTTATTTCAATAAAGCTTCGATTCTTCTTCTATTCTCTATTCATTCTTTTTTCTCATTCTTTTTCTTGAATTGTTTTCTTCTAGATTTTTTGGACGATGAATTAAGGAACGAATCCATTTTCTAAATTTTTCTTTTTTACTATGAAAGATATCTACATTCAGGGCTTCGTTGATTTAAAAGTGAATTTCAATTTTGGCCACTGATAAATTTATTTTAACCAATCAACGAGCTTCGATTCTTCTTCCATTCTCTGTTCATTCTTTTTTCTTAAATTCTTCTATTCTTTTTCTTAAATTGTTTTCTTTTGGATTTTTTGGACGATACTATTAAGAAACCAATTGAAAATGAGATGGGCAAATCTAATTTCTTTTTCTAAATTTTTCTTTTCTATTATATCTTTACTATCAAGAACGAAATATCATGAAAGATATCTGGATCCAAGGCTTCCTGTCTTGACTTTAATCTAAGAGTTGATTTCCAATCAACGGACTTCTTCTTCCCATTTCTGCTCTCATTATTCTTCTCTCTTCTCATTCCTTTCCTTAAATTGTTCTATTTTTTGGAATTAAACAACGAATCGTTGAGATTTGGATAGACAAATCCAATTTCTTCTTTCACTAGCAAAAACGAAATATCGTTCACGAAAAATACCTGAATCCTAAATTTTAAATCTAAGACTTGATTTCCAACCAACATGTTCTTCCCATTCTCATCCTTTTTCTTATTTATATTTTATATATATTTATATCATTTATATATATTTTTCTCTCTTGGATTTTTCTGATGGATGATAAATACAAACATAAATTCGAATCGATTGAATCTTAGATGATGAAAATTTATTAATTCATTAATTTTATCTTCTTCAATTCGTCACCAAAGACGAGATTATCGAACGATGAATCATCATACTTTATTCAACACTTGAAAACTCTTCCTCTCCTCCTCCCCCCCCAAAAAAAAAAAAATGATTCTCTGGAATAGAATTTCCTAGCACGAGGAGATCCAGCTCGTTAAAAAATACACGGGGAAACATGACATTACCGTTTAATAAAACGAATCCCGATGATTACCTGTGAAGCGTATCTGACAGAGGGGGTGGGGGAGAGGGGTGACAGACAATTTTCCGCGAAGAGAGAAGGCTGTTATTAAACGCGAGGACAGGGCGGATCGATTCGCGGGAAATTCAATTGCAAAGTCATACATACTGCACGCGAAAATCCTCGTGAACGATCCCATTAATATTGCAGAGGCGGCAGACTATTGCCAATGACACACGATGCGAGTTTGCCCCACGGTATAATTGTCCCGTCGTTGGTGGTTATGAAAGTTGGCTCCCGTTGTTGGATGACTTGTTGCAAACGGTTGCAGACGCGACCAATTCACCAATTCAATTCCCCAATTTTTCCCTTTCCGTCCGATTTTACCATTTAACCATTGACGAGGAACGAACCGTCGCCGAAATTCATCTTCGGAGGAGATTGAATTTCTGAAGAGAATCGGTGCATGATTGTAATTAAAATTCCCTTTTACATATATATATATATATATATATATATATAAGTATTCGTATATATAAATTTGTAAAATCTACATTTTCGAAAGTAAAATTTATTTATTATTTATTATTATTTATTTATTATAAAATTAGTAAAATTGTTATCAAAATGACTCGCAACTTAAAATTAAATTTAATATTAATTTAATCAGATATGGGTGCGTTATTTCTCAACTTTCGTCGGATTGAAAAATAAATAACAAAGAAAGCTCGAAGCGTTTCTAGATTTAACGCGTTAATTTAACCCTTCAGTTGGCAAAATTTTCTTGTTACAATAATTTTAATCCTCCATTAAATCCTCTTAATTGTCCCTCTCCGACTTCTATTCTCCAAAGTCATTCATCGAGAACATTCCATCGGTTTAGATCAAAGAACAGTCCCACAACTTACCGAATAAAACGATTAATTCACGGTGAAAATCCGAAATCGGACGCGATCTTGGATCGATGGATGCATCGCGCATACTCGCGGGGGGCAGAGGAGGATCCGTCGTGTTCGAGCGGGCCGCCATGAATTTTTATGAGCTTAGGAAATTAATTTGTGTTTTTCGCTAAGCCCCGGCTTAGCGCCGCGGTAATTAATTGCGCTGATTGCCCTGCATCATTGATAAGCGGTTCTCTGGCTTTCGTAACCGTTTATCCCCCGCCCTCTCTCTCTCTCTGTCTCCCTTTCTATCCGTGTCCGTCCATCCATCCATCCATCCATCCATCTCTTCTCTCCCTCTTTCTCTCTTTCGTTCCAACCCTGACCATTTCTCTGTCTCGCTCTCTCGTGAACGCCATCCATCGCTTCTCCTCATCCCCCCTCGTCCTTTTGTCTGCGCGTGCTTCGCAGACCGCCTCCCCTCCCCCTCCCCCCACCCGTTTTTCCGATTTCCAACGGACGAGCCGTGCGTGCTCCTCGTAATTGGCCCGCGAACGAGCCATTCCGCGTTAAATCATGCACCGGGGTGGTATACAGGGTGGTAGTTTTGAATTTTTGTCAAACCTGCGGTGGCGTGTCCGGATGGAATGATCGATCGGGGGTGTGTGTGTATGTGTGTGTGTGTGTGTGTGTGTGTGTGTTTTTTTAGAGAGATTTGCGTAAGGTTTTTCTGGAGATAGACAGTTTTGGGATAGTTTTGGGTTTACGAATATTCTCGAAATAATTTTTTTTTTTCTTGTAAATTATGAGATAGGAAAGCAAAGGGGAATAAAGTATGTGTTAATCATAGAAAAACGATTCCTTTCGAGAAAATAATCAAGACGATTTTTTTTTTTTGTATTATTATCTTTTAACGTATGGCGAATAGGAATGGCAGATGGGAGTACGAAGAGGCGAGACTTCTTCTCTGCGGAGGAAGTTCAAAGAAAGCAAATATAAATTAATTAGAGCGGCTGTCTCGATTACAGATACCAGTTACTCGGCTTATCATCCGGCTTTGCACGGAGTCGGGGAGGATTCCTTCGTGAGGCGAAAGCAGAGGAGGAACAGAACCACGTTCACTCTTCAGCAACTGGAAGAATTGGAGTCAGCGTTTGCGCAGACACATTATCCGGATGTCTTCACGAGGGAGGATCTGGCGATGAAGATTAACCTCACCGAGGCCAGGGTTCAGGTTGGTACGAATTGAAAAAGCAAATACTTGCAACAGCGGTATCATATCTCGAACAAAATCGAGAGGTGAAAACTTTCTTACTTGGAATTTGTAAAAGCTTATTCGTGGACAAAAAGAAATTAAATTTTTATATTATGTTGAACTAACATAATATAAAAGTATTCAACAAATTAAATGTTAAAAAACATTTCTGGAAAACGGATAATATGTTATTACAAATATATATATATATTTTTTTTCATCAACAAATATTCGATGACAAGTATGTTTCACGACGCGAAAATCTTTAACGATTTCGAGTGGTGGCGCGTTTTTTCCGACAAATCAATTTTAAACAGCATCAAATGAATAAATGGCACAGAGAGGAGGGAAATAAAATAAATCGGAAATGTCGCTTAATGAGCGGAGTTGTAATCAATTAACTTTTAAATTATCAAAATATACAATAATATGCTAATGTGCGAACGCACTTTAATAAATGTGTTCAATTTCCCAGTTTCGTGTTTCCCAAATTATTTAATAATTCGTATAGTAATTTTCAACATACTTTTCCTTCTCCATCTTCCTCCCTCTCTTTTTTTCATCAAAAAAGACTATCCAAAATAATATAATTTTTACAAAATAAAATATATATATATATATAAAATGCTGGATCAAATTTCAATATTATTAGAAAAATGTCACTATTACAAAAATGAAAATATGAGCGCGAAAACGTATAGGCATCGAGGAGGCAACTTCGATACGTTTCGAATACGAATTCCGTGATCAGGGATCGTAACGAGAGCATCACGGTCAAACGGGGCAACAATGATCGATTGTTTCGACGCGCGGGAGTATGGATCACGGGAGTAAGAGCAGGAGCGCAAGATGTAGGGTAGTTTTGGGGTACACCCAATCTCCCGCGGGAGGCGCTGACACCCTCGACCTGACGTAATCTTCTGACAGAGTAAGCCGGTAATCTCCGGGATTACTTTGTACTCTTGGCTACGTCCTCCTGCCCATATTTACTCGCACCGGCGTAATTCGCGCTGCAGAGAATCCCGCCAGTAATAGCGATTCCCTGCTCAAATCCTGTTCGAACATCTGCAGGATATCTGATCGCTCATGTCAGATTTTTAATTCGTCCCCTCTTTTTAACCTAATCGTCAAACTTTCGTCCATTTTTTTTTTACTTAATAGATTCCATTTTTTTAATTAATAGGAGTAATTGGAATAATTTTTTAGGTTTGAAATTGAATAACAGTTGAGTGAGAATTTCAATCGTTAGAATTCTCACATTTATAATTAATAAAGTAAATATTATTTGAAAATAGTATTTATTTAAATTTGTCCATTTTTTTATTTTTCTAATTAAATTTATCTAATTTATTTTTCTAATTAATAATTAAATGTTAGATTAAATGTTGCAATAATTTGTTAGGTGTGAAAATAGTATTTGTCTAAATTTGTCCATTTTCCTACTTTTCTAATTAATAGAAATAATTACAATAATTTTTTAGATTTGAAATTGAATAAAAGTTGAATGAAAATCGTTAGAATTCTCACATTTATAATTAATAAAGTAAATATTATTTGAAAATAGTATTTATTTAAATTTATCCATTTTTTTATTTTTCTAATTAATAATTAAATGTTAGATTAAATGTTGCAATAATATGTTAGATGTGAAAATAGTATTTGTTTAAATTTGTTCATTTTTCACTCATTCCACTTTTCTAATTAATAAAAATGTTGCAATAAATGTTGCAATAATGTTCAGTGAAAATTTCAATCATTAAAATTCATATAATTTTTTTTCCAATATATTTATAATTAATAGAATAAAGTAAATAGTATTTGTCTAAATTTGCCCATTTTTTCTCCCTTCCACTTTTCTAATAAATTTCTAATTAAGAAATAATTGCAATAATTTTTTAGGTTTGAAATTGAATAAAAGTTGAGTGAAAATTTCAATCATTAAAATTCAGTTCGTATAATTTTTTTTCCCCACATTTATAATTAATAGAATAAAATGAAAATAGTATTTGTCTAAATTTGTCCATTTTCCCCCATCTTTCTAATTAATAAAAATGTTGCAATAATTTTTTAGGTTTGAAATTGAATAACAATTGAGTGAAATTTTAATCGTTAGAATTTTCGTTCGTGTAATTTTTCCCCACATTTATAATTAATAGAATAAAGTGAAAATAGTAAAAATATTTATTTAAATTTGTCCATTTTTTTACTTTTAAAATTAATAATTAAATGTTAAATTAAATTAAGTGTTGCAATAATTAGTTAGGTGTGAAAACAGTATTTGTTTAAATTTGTCCATTTTTCTCTTTACCTTTCTAATTAATAGAAATAATTGCAATAATTTTTTAGGTTTGAAATTGAATAAAAGTTAAGTGAAAATTATAATTAATAGAGTAAAGTGAAAATAGTGAAAATAATATTTGTTGAAATTTGTGAGTAAAACATGGTAAAACGGATGGAATATCTTATTATAAGTGTACAAAAGTGTAATAATAATAAACTAATTATTTTTAGATATTGTCAGATTCGAGCTAGGATTTATTTCGAAGAGGAAAGAAAATATTACGTGTTCATAAATGCATTCAATTTATTCTTATTAAATCAATGAAATTTCGTACGAGATACGTAATTAATTAATGCAAACATCGAGCAATGGGTTTGCAATTAAACGAACTAAATGAGAAAGATGATAGGATTTAAATGTTGGACACACTGATGAAGAATTAATAAATAACAGCAACGGAATCGTGTACATTTGTGCAACGTATAACGAGAAATAATTCCAAGAGATGAATTCGTATCGTACAAGGATAAAGGAGAAATAATTCCAAGAGATTGCGTGTTTTCATATCTCGTCTCGTTAATTAAAACGGAAACCGAGAACTCACGTATTAAAACGCGCGTATTAAATCGAACTTCCAACGTGTATCCACTTCCAAACAAACGAGTCAACTTTTCAACTTGTATATCAAATAAATATAAACCGATATAATTCAAAGAAATTATTTTCCTATCGTAATTACTCGTTCAAAATCTAACCTCTAAATTCCAAATTCCAAATTCCATCAATAACTTTGAATCCAAAAAAAAAAAAAAAAAAAAAGAACAAGAAACAAAAAGGAAAAGTTGTTAAAACCTCGGTCTCTCGAAATGAATGGAATCGAGAGGAAAAGAGCGCGTATAGGTAGAAAAGTCTGGGGAAAAGAATCCTTCACCGTGGCTCGGCCAGCGTAGGGGGTACTCTGTATTATCCCGCTGCATTGTCCGGATTATAAGACGAGAAGGCCATGCCAGGCAGCGGTGTACACACAATGGGAGGAAGGTAGGGACAGGGACGGCTATGACGCAATTACGGCGCAGACTCATTGTTTCATTAGGGAAGACAAAGGGAATCTGAAATAATGGACAAATAGGCGCGTTTATGCAGTGCCGGTCCTCTTCTCCTACTCCAATTAGAACCCAGTACGGGGTAGGGTGGGCGCGGGGGTGGTTGGCCATCGTCGGTGGATCGTCGGAGGCGAGCACACGAGCCTCTGACGTTTGTTCGTCGTCGCCCAGTGTGCGCGCCAATTATGCTGCACGCACACCGAGGTGCTCGAGGGAAAGGAAAGCCGCGCATGCGCGGCAGGCAGCGGAGATCTAGGGGGAACTAGGATCGGCCGGTTATAGGCTCGAACGAAAAGAAAATTAAATCTCGATTCGTGATTTGTTTATCAGGATTTTCTCGTTATTACTCGAATTGTATACGATAAAAATTGGTAAACTCGATAGTGACAGTTTTAAATATTATTCGAGAAATCTTGTTTGAGAGAAAGAGAAAAAGAGAAAGAGAGAGAGAGAGAGAGAGAGAGAAAGAGAAAGGCAAATAACGCGACGAATAATTAAAAGCAAGCATTTGGGGAACAAGTGTCAAAAGATTAAGCGCATTTGACTTTAGAGTAGAGAGTGAAACAATGCCATTGCAGACGTGTATTCGGATTAAACGGAATAAAAAAAAAAAAAAAGAAAAAAGACGATTAAAATGCGAAGAAAAACAGGGGGATGACGAGAGGAAGGAACGTATGAAATACACGAGGGTGAAGATGCCTTTCACCATTGGATTACATACCGTGATAAAGCGCTTATAAATTTGCAAGCAAAAATGTTCCTTTCGTTCATTTAATGAAAACATAATGAAGAAGTAAGAGGCTTTTGTGTTTTTATTCCGTATACATTCAAAAACCGTCCGATTTCTGATTTCCAAATCAAATTTTCCCCGCGAATTAATTAATTCGTCAATTTCTTAACGATTGTAACACTATTATTTCAATCGCACTATTATTTCTCTTCGACCATAACGTTTAAACGTTTTTTCCATAATCCAATGAAACATCATCGTCCATAATACTCTAACAGAAACCTCCTTCCATCGGCAAGGAAGAAAGAAAAGAAAAGAAAAGAAAAGAAAAGAAATCCGTCTCACGACTTAAACGAATCGGACAAAGTTGGAAAGAATCACGGCGCGAAAGTACCTAGAACTCATTAACGGATTGGAATCGATAATAAAATAAACTTGGCGAGGAAGTCGATTACTCTCCTCGCAAACGTGATTCTTCCCCCAATCCCTCCCCTCCAAGAGACAAAACGCGTTATTACGGATCGGGGCCGGAGCACCGAGGAAATGATTATCTTGCTCCATCGAGGAGAGGGAAAGTTTCTCGGCGACGAGAAGGAGAGGAAGGTTGGAAAATGGTTTTAATAAAATAAATACGACGAGCTCGACGTTGCCTTCGCTCGAATTCGCGCACGAGGAAGACAGGAGATATAATAATATCCTCGGGGTTGCGGGGGCGAGTAATAGCCGGGAACAAAGCCGGTGGCTCCGTCGGGACTCTTTCCTTCTCCGCGCTGGATCGTTCCCTCCCCACCTTCTTTCTTCCCTCTCTCGTTCTTTCTTTCGTTTTCCTTCTTTCCCTTTTTTTTTTTTTTTTATATATTTCAATACGAATTTAATCCGAGAAACGCCGGTAATGGCGCCGACTCCTCCGTTTCCCTCCACGAGATAAACGCATTTAATCTCTCGACACTTGGTCGAGGAAAGTGCGACGGATCGATGAAACAGGGGTTCAACGCGGGACGGTTGATCGTGATAAGGATCGTGTTTGGTCTTCCTTTATTAATTATCAAGTTATTAAGTTTGGATTTTAATTTTTCGCCACGGTTTAATTAAAAGTCAAGTCTTCTTTTCGTGATTTCAAAACAATCTTCTATCCTATCATGCTCGTATAAATCTATTCTATTTCACGAAGAATCATTCTACGATATGAATAATAAAAATAGTAAAAAAATATAGTAAAAGAACGTGATATCGTATCCATTAACCATTAACTATTGAAAAATTGATTCTATAAAAAAAAAGAAGAAGAAGAAGAAAAGAAGAAGAAAAATTTTCAAGTATCGCAATAACTATAAGAATATCATAGTGGAGAGAATTCAAAAGAGAAACTCGCGTTAGGAGTGGCAATTGGAAAGCAACAGCCACGGAAGGCACGAATGATAAATTTTTAATTCACGAAAAATCATTCTACAGTATAATAAAAATAATAAAAAAATATAATAGAAGAACGTGATATCGTATCCATTAACCATTAACCATTACAAAATTGAACATTCTGTAAAAAAAAAAGAAGAAGAAGAAAAGAAGAAGAAAAATTTTTAAGTATCGCAATAACTATAAGAACATTATGCTGGAAAGAATTCAAAAGAGGAACACGCGTTAGGGATAAAAAAATATAATGAAAGAACGTGATATCGTATCCATTACTCATTGCAAAATTGAAAATTGAATCGTTTTCTGTAAATCAAAAAAAAAAAAAGAAGAAGAAGAAGAAAAATTTTCAAGTATCGCAATAACTATAAGAATATCATGCTGGAGAGAATTCAAAAGAGAAACTCGCGTTAGGAGTGGCAATTGGAAAGCAACAGCCACGGGAGGCACGAAAGGTGATAAATCTATTCTATTTCACGAAGAATCATTCTACGATATGAATAATAAAAATAATAAAAAAATATAGTAAAAGAACGTGATATCGTATCCATTAACTATTACTCATTGCAAAATTGAAAATTGAATCGCTTTCTGTAAATCAAAAAAAAAAAAAAGAAGAAGAAGAAAAGAAGAAGAAAAATTTTCAAGTATCGCAACAACTATAAGAACATCATGCTGGAGAGAATTCAAAAGAGGAGCTCGGTCCGAAAGAAGCTCGCGTTAGGGGTGGCAATTGGAAAGCAACAGCCACGCGGGAGGCACGAAGCGGCGGAGGACCGCCGGGTATAATAAAGTCTATTTCAGTTGGTATTATGTCAAGTTAGGCTCGTTAGCGGAACTCGAGCTTTTTAAAAAACACTCGGCCGCCGTGGTTGCTGTCAGCTCGTTGAACATGCACGCGGCCAAGAGGCCCAACACCCCCTTCTGGTCCAGCCGCGAATCCCATCCCCTACATGCAATTATCCTTCCATATCCGCACACCAGGTGTAGCCCTATAAAGCAGCTTAAGTGCCGCCTTCAGCGCCATTCCTCATCGTACTCTCGTTTGCTTTTTTTTTTCTTTATTTCTTTTTTTTTCTTCTTCTTTTTTTTTCGTTCATTCTTTCACACTGCGCCCTCTATTTTATTTACGCGTCTTCGTTGCACAACCGATCTTCTTCAGGGGTTGAAATTGAAGCTAATTTTTTTCTCTCCCTTTGTCTTTTTTGCCTTCTTTTTACCTTCGATCGATGATGAAAAATTTATCCATATCATTGACGATAAAATTGGAAGATTTTTTTTGTTGAATAAAGGTGAAATTTTTAAGAGATTGAAATATCGATTGGATTGTGTTCAGATCGAAATGAAAACGAATTGAATTTGAATTTTACAGGTATGGTTTCAAAATCGTAGAGCGAAGTGGAGGAAAAGCGAACGTTTGAAGGAGGAACAGAGGAAAAGAGAGGGTAACGGAGGGGGTGGCGCGTTGGAAACGACAGGCCTCGCACCCCCAACGTCGTCATCGGCAGGACCCAGTCCAACAGGACATGATCCTGAAGGTATCATTATTTTCAACCTCGATAGAACAATTATTAAAAAACCTCTTCATTCGCATATCATTTCTTTTTCTTAATAATAATAACAGTTTTATATTCTCGATTCTTTCAATTTGAACAATTAAATGCAAAAAAAACAATTTTTATTTAATAATAATTGTGTAAACTTATAATCATTTCTATTATTACATAGTGCAATCAAGTAATTTTTCAAATAATTTAAGTTTGGACGACAGAACGAGATAAACGCGAATCTAAATTACTTACAACCTAACACAAATAAGCCTGAACCGACATTTTCGTAAACCAACCAACTAACCTAACTCGCCTACTTCGATCCCTAACAACATCCCCTTCGATCCCTAAGAACCCACGAGCACGCATAATTAATTACAACAACCCTGGAAAAGAATAGAAATCTCCACATCCCCGACTCATCGTGGCCACACCACGAATTTAAAACGATCAATGGTACAAGCATTTCCCGGTCTTTTCCTTGCCCCAAAAGGAACGACAAGCAGCAGCGCCCCCGACGCGGAGGACGCCGGTCCAGATGGAGCTGGGGGGTCGAGGAGCCCCAGCACCACTTCCGCCTCGGTCAGCCCGCGGCCCCAGCAGAGTCAGCCGTCCCTGGGTGGCGTCTCGACGCCACCTCCAACCCCCATAAGGGCGCCACCGCCGCCACCTAGCACCGTGGGGGGTCTTGGCCCACCCGGCGAGAGGTGAGCTTTTAAGCTTCGTTTGTATTTACGTCTTTAGGAAATATCTCTCTCCTTTCTCCCCCCCCCCTCCCTCCCTCCCCTCTCAAAGTTCAGAAGAGCGCGACTCGCAGAAGCAGCTCCAAGCACCGCTGAACACCGTCGACCGGATGCTCGATACGCGCCATTAAACCACCGCTCCTCGTCGTCGCTTCCTCCCATTCCACCCCTTCCATCCCCCTCCCCCAACCCTCGTTCGCCGCGCCACGTTCTCGCCCCCGGTTATATGCTCGGCTACCGCTCGTATAATCGCGATAATTGTCGCCTCGTTAAGTCGCCACGGGATCCCTGTGGGTGCACGGCGACCGATTTAAGGACCGGTTTGTGTACACCGGTTTTATAGGAGTTTCGCGCGAACAATGGAGAACGTGAGGTGAGCCGAGGGATGTTGGAGGGATGTTGGTGGATAATGCGGGGTTACTGGGCGGGAATCAGGTTAAGATTTATGGGGATATATCGGATAAATTGGAGAGGAGATGAGCGGGCAAATTAGGATTTAGGATTTTAGGTAGGATGATCCGTTGGGTTTTGATTTTGGAAAGGATTGAGAGTTGGCAAGGCAATTCTAAATTATTTCTTGACGCGAGATGAGGGGATGAATTTGTTGCAAGTTGATGAAAAGCAGATTTTGGAAATCTTTTTTATTCTATGATCTAATATCGATTCGAAAGAGTATTCCTCGTCCAGTTGAAAATAAGAAAAAGAAAATTCTTTGAGAAAAAAATCAAAATTCAGTAAGGTGGAAGCTGGCAAGTTTATGATTGTTGTTTCGTCACCTTGCAAGTTGGCAAGGCAATCTATATTATTTCTTGACGCAGAGGGGATGAATTTGTTGCAAGTTGATGAAAAGCAGATTTTGAGAAAAAAATCTTTGAGAAAAAAATCAAAATTCAGCAAGTTGGAAAATTTGGCAAGATTCTGATTGTTGTTTCGTCACTTTGCAAGTTGGCAAGGCAATCTATATTATTTCTTAACGCGAGATGGGGGGATGAAATTGTTGCAAGTTGATGAAAAGCAGATTTTGGAAATCTTTTTTATTCTATGAAATAATATCGATTTGAAAAAATATTCCTCGTCTAGTTGAAAGTAAGAAAATGAGAGTTCTTTGAGAAAAAAATTAAGATTCAATAAGTTGGAAGTTGGCAAGTTTTTGATTGTTATTTCGTCACCTTGCAAGTTGGCAAGGCAATCTATATTATTTCTTGACGCAGAGGGGATGAATTTGTTGCAAGTTGATGAAAAGCAGATTTTGAGAAAAAAATCTTTGAGAAAAAAATCAAAATTCAGCAAGTTGGAAAATTTGGCAAGTTTCTGATTGTTGTTTCGTCACTTTGCAAGTTGGCAAGGCAATCTATATTATTTCTTAACGCGAGATGGGGGGATGAAATTGTTGCAAGTTGATGAAAAGCAGATTTTGGAAATCTTTTTTGAATCTGTTTTGAAAATATTCTATGATCTAATATCGACCCGAAAGAATATTCCTCGTCCGGTTGAAAATAAGAAAACGAAAGTTCTTTGAGAGAAAAATCAAAATTCAGCACGGAATGGAGGAAAATTGTCATTTCTGTTGAGAAGCGGGAGGAATATCAAAGAAATTCTCGCAGAAAACTGAAATTTAAACGAACTTTTTATACACACATATTTAAAAAAAAAAAAAAAAAGAAAGAAAGAAAGAAAAAAGAAAAAGGGGGAAAAAGGAGTCGCGTGCATCTGGCCGGAATATGAAAATGGATTTCCAAGTATGTTTCACCTTTCCACTGACAAAAGAGACTTTATATTTATGAATTATGTAGCAACGAAGCAAACGAAAATCCCACAAGCTGAGAATATTCTTTTTAGCCTTTTTCTAAAGGAAAAAAAAAAAAAAAAAAAAAAAAANAAAAAAAAAAAAAAAAGTAGAAAATAATAAACAAACGATATCATCTCAAATTTTTCATAAATCCGTCGTAACACGTTCTCGTAGAATATATTTAAACTTGTTCCTTTGAATTAATATCATTCGAAATAATGATTCGAATAATTCGAATTAATATTTCAACGGAGACGTATACATAGAGAAAATCATGTTATTGAAACGTCATAAGGATAAGCCATTATCGCAACAGTATTAATAAAATAATATCATATTTCGTGAGCTATTCCACGGTTATAATAACAATATTTGTTATTAATGCTACTAATATATTAAATGTTTGTTATTAATATCAATATTCATAGACATTCAATATCAGTCAATATCGTTGCCTCGTTCTATAACTATCGCCTATATATAAGCATCGAGATAATTCCCATATAATAACAATCGAATAACACTTCGCGCATACAACAACGTTCGATTTCCCTCTCTCTCTCTCTCTCTCT